ACCAGGTAAAAGAGCTGGGGACTTGCCGCTATTAAAGGAAGTCCTGTTACTACTGATGTTTCTTACCACCAAGGTGTGCCCGCTGGCTTGGCAAAGAGCCCCGGCTCTGCTCTGTGTGCCGACGTGCACATCAAAGTCACCAGCCAGAGCTTCTGAAGAGCAAGCCAGGGTGTGATCAGACGTACAGCCTGCGCAGGGCTTCAGAAAGAGCATGTTATTCTCTTGATTTAGCGAGTAGAGGTGTGAGGAGGATGAAATGAGTTGCCTGAGCTTGCAGGTGTGGTCTGGAGCTGCTAATGACTCCAGCTGGAGGGCAGGCACATGGACACGCAGTCCTGTCTGTCCCCTGCCGTGGCAGTCGTCACCCGTTTCGGGGTGCAAGAGAGCGGCCGGGGAGCCCTCACAAACGCAGCAGCTTGTCCTGAAGTCTGCTGGGAGGGATGCAGGAGGGGACCCCGCAGCTGGGCTGAGCCCCAGCCCCGCTCTCTGGGCAGGAGGGGCATTTTGCAGCGCAGAGCACCCTGGCAGCACCAGCCCTGGCTTTGGATGAACCGGGGCCTCTCATGGCACCTGGGCACTGCCTGGGAGCTGACAGAGCAGCAAACCCTGCTCCCCAGTCCTCTCTGGAATCACAGCTGGAGGCAAAAGGTAGGATTTAAGCAGCTACTGCAGATGCTTCCTGTTTGAACTGGGTACGGTTCATGACCAACATAATATTTTAACGGGCTTGTAAAAGCGTGGGAACCAGGTCTCGAAGCAGGCTGAGCTTGCCTGTTAGTCTCGGCTCCTCCACCAGCTCCGGACTGCTGTTTTGTCTGGGGTGGGGAAGCACTTGGGCCAGGGGTGTGTTTTGGGTTTTTTTTTTTTGTTGTTTTGGGTTTTTTTTTAAAGTTAGCACCTCAGCTACAATTAAAAAAAGAGAAAGGTTTGACTCTGAGGAGAGTAGAGCTAGTTTTCCTTGAGATTACCCAGACAACCAGCCCTGTTAGGTCAAAGTTACATGTAAGATATCTTACACCTGCACTGCCCTAAGCTGATTTTTTTTATTGTGCTGCTCTGGGCTTGTAGCAAATAGCGGCATGAGGCCATGGATTTCAGTGCTCTTTGAAAAGCTGATCTTGAAGCAGAAAGGAAACCTCGGGTCTCCATGAGACTGGGCTGCCCCCAGACCCCAGCTGGCCACGCCGGCAATTTGGCAGCACCTGGGGGCTGTAGCCCCCTCCTCCACAAGCTGAACAGCAATTTAATATCTTGCTGCCTTTCCCTTCTCGCCCTCCAAAGGGGTGGCAGTCACCAATGATGCCCTCAAACACACTCTGTTCAGAAAACATAACTTTATTATTAGTTGCAATATACATTGTATTCCTTTAAGAATCCTAAACTTGTATATGTTTTTTCCCACTGAAAATACATGTGTATGTATATATGTTTTTATATATGTCTATATATATAAATGTATCTTATTCAACTGGAACACAATGGAACAAGAGAGACAAGCTCGGAAATTACTTGGAAAAGTAAGTGTCATCTCAATGGGTTTGTGCTGGCAGTGTGCTAAGGTGAGTGGTATAAAAAGAACAGGCTAAATAGAAAATGTGATGGGTTAGGCAGCGGGGAATGGTCTCTCAGTGCTACAGGTGGTAATATATACAGTAGTTACACATTGCTATTGCTCAGTCACGAGTGCCACCTATTCTCAAAGGCAGACCAGTCTCTGGTGCGGCTCCGCACAGCAACATTCATAAGGCCGGCTGTGCTCCCTGCAAATGGTACCTGCCATTTGAAAATAGAGTTTAATTACATCTCCCTTGGCAGCAGCTCTGCTCATTACTAATCTGGTCAGCAAAGGAAGAATTCCTCTGGGGCATGGTGAAACCTAACTAGGTCAATATAAAGTAGCTTACAGGCAGGGTAAGGGATCAGCAACAGCAGTGAGAGCTGAAACGCGCAGGCTGAGCTGCAGCTGGTGCAAACGGGCGCCTCAGCTGACCCAGGCTGATTTGCTCCTGGCTCCTTCCCTCTGCACTCGTTTCCCCACCTGCAAATGGGCTGCTCCCTCTGTGCTCAGCAGCCTGCCTGGAGGTGTGCGCCGCTGGGGCATGCGGCCTTCCGGGCCTTTTTTGGGTAGGTTTCCTTGTGGTCATTTCCTCAGAAAAGAATTCTTCAGAAAACTGGCTGAGGGTGGCAGTAACCCCTGCTGTGCCAGCGGCTTGGGGCTTATTTGGCTTTTTTTGTTGTCGTTCTTTCAACTTTTTGTTTGTTAACCTGATTTTCAAATACAGCTTCCCCAGGCCATGTGCCATTGCTGAGCTTAGCTGGACAGAGGGACAAGCCTTCCCCAGATCAGTGGAATTGGTTTCCTTTTATTTCTGCTGAGCTGCAGATGTTTCTTGGCTGAAAGGACACATTTTATCAAAGGCACTGACCAGGGACCTTCCTCTGCCTGCAGCCAGGTTGGAGGGAGCAGACAGGCTCTGACCTTCCTGCCGGAGGGTCACTTCCCTCCCCCCTGCAAAGTGCTTGTCGGTTTGGAAATGGATGTAAAGAATGTGGGCATTGATTTGCTCCTCCGGACTTCCTCGGGAAAAGTGCTTTCAAAAATCCCATTCTTAAATCATCATCTTGTTACTACCCCCGCAATGTCTGTCACCACTGGATCACGCGTACATGATTCCTCTTCCAGCTGAAGAAGCGGGTGAGGTTTATCACCGCTGTAGTGTTTCTCTTCTTGCTGTCTTTCCCCAGGAACATCTGGCAAGGAGGGATCTTGCTCAGGGAAAAGCAGTTGCAACAAGCCAGGCTGCTGGAAGATGCAGAGCAGGTGACCTGTGCATCCCCTCCTTCCCAAAGCAAGCGTCGCCAGAGGTTTAGCAGGGGTTGGTGAGAACAGCTGATTGCACTGGAATAATATTTGAATCAAAAGCTGGCGTTGCTGGGAGAACTACAGCTCATTCCTCTCTTTAGAGGCAGGACAATACAAGTGTGAAAGTGCCTCAATCAACCTGTATAAAAGAGCTTTCCTGACTTGGGCCTCTTAAGGCAATTCCAAGGACGTAGCCTGCATCCACACATCCTCATCCATCCACACTGCTGGGACTGAACGGGACCGAGCCCTGATCCTGACTGTTATTGCACAGAGGTCCCTTTCCTGAATCTTGCCAGAACTGGCTTAAAGGGAGGAGAGGTGGGCGACGCCCTGCAACTGTTGCAGGTGGGATCCAGCCCTGGGAGCAGCGGCACAAGACGTAGCAATGGCTCCCACTGCTGCCAGGGAAGGCAATAAGGGAGCTGGTTTGTCACTGGGGGAGATGCCCCACTCTCATTGTGCAACATCTGCAGGCATTTTCTTCTTGCAAAATTGGAAGGAGAGGTGCAGGTTAAGACCCTTCCCTTTGGCTAGTGCCAAGAAGTGTATTCATAATTGGGACCATCACCCTGGACAAATTGACCCGCACAGCCATGCTGTGATTACTACACAGCTTTTGCTGTATCAGTACAATGCCTCTGCTCCATAACTGGGTGTAAAGTCTTCCCTGTAGCCCTGCTGCTACCAGAGACCCAGGCAGCTCTGGGGTTTGGCTTGTCTGCACCACAAGCTCCTCCACGGCAGCCTGTACACCAGTGCCCCTGGGCACCCCCAGTGCAGCAAGGTAGATGTTGGATGGGTGATTGCACCCTATACTCTGCCTTCAGCTCCCCACATTGCCTAAAGGGGTGAGCTCAGCCCCTCTGCTCTGTGATCTGCCCCAGAGATGGTTGTGCTGATTAGGAGGAGATTGGGACAAGCTTGGACGGGATCTCTGTTCACGCTGCGGGTCTCCTGCTAAACCAGTGGACCATGAGGACACCCACTGCTAATCCCCACCCACCAGATGCTCTGCGCTTCTCTCCAGCACTATTTTCAGGCCATTTTCCAACTGATGAAGGAAAACAACAGATTATGACTGTAAAGTTATGGTGAGAGGACTGGATCCCGGTAGGACAACATTATTCCTTGCCAAGAGAAGTAACAATTAACCCCTTCTTTAGACTCTCCTTCCATTTCTTCCCCAGCTCCCAGCCACCTCTATATACATCATATATTACTATATTCTCTTATAACTTTGACTTTGCTTTTTAAGTTTCAGTAGCGCAAGTGATTAATTCCAAAAGAAAAAAAATAAGGAAGGAAGGAAAAAAAGCAGCCCCTATGAATATTTACAGAATAGTTCATCTTGCAGAGGAGAGATGGGGTTTGGCATTAGGAAAAGCATGGTTTCTGAATGTGCTAACTGGGTTTGATTCCACATTCCTCCTCTCCCCTCTGGGATCCTGCTCTGATGATGAAAATTAAAGAGCTGTTCAATGCGCTTTCCCCAAGTGCAAACTCGCAGAGGACCTGCAGGGCGGTGGGGGAGGCTGTCTCTATGCTTTCCCCTGGCCTGGCCTTATAAAGGCAGTATCTAAAGGGGTCTGACCTTGAAAACCAGCCTTTCACTTTCAGGGAGCTGTCAACTCCATCTTTAGCCTCTCCTTGTTACCCAGCACCTTCGTTAGTGCTCTCCTCTCAAGGACTAGGGCTTTTAAGGTACCGGATGGTGGGGAGAGGGAAGGGACTGTATGCACCTGGAATCAGAATCATGAAGTGGAAGATACTGACTTCTTTAACATACCAAAAATTATTGCAGTATAAATACACCCCTGTAACCCCAATGAAAGCAGAGAAGGGGAAGCGATGGGGGAAGTTTGGTGGGTGAGGTGCACTTCAGTAAAGTCACGCAACCTGGAAAGCTTTGACAGCTGCTCCCACAGCTATCAACTCTTCCCCAGATCAGGGCAACAGTGATTTACATCAGCGAATAATGCCCCACCCTGTGACTCTCCCCCCACCCTCCCTTAACACTATGTATGATAAAATATCCCAAGAGTCCCTCCACATTAGATCTTTTTCAGAGAGACTTCTATTAAGAAAAGCATCTATTCCCAGAAAACCTCAATAAGAGCTGCAAAAACAATTGCTCTTAAGTATGGCTGGTTTCCCCAGCTGCTGAGACCTTCTGGCCAATCCATGTCAGTATTTCTGTGAAGACAGAGGTAGAGACCTCAGGCAGCTCTTTGTGGAGGGCATGATAGGCTTCCTCATACACCTGCAACCAGGGAGAGAGCAGAGTTTAGCACAAAAAACCAAAATTTGCATGAACAAAACAGCCTTCAGTCCCCTCTCATCAACACCCACAGGTCCAACACGTCCTGCCCACGCCTTGTCAGGTTTTTTCCTAGATGTGGCAGGTTACGAAATCAAAGAGATGCCATTGGCGGTGCTGGCCCTCTGCGAGCAGGAAGGCATTGGCATTGCAGCTTGACATCTCCACATCACCCGAGCATCCTGCTGCCCTTTAGGAAGATAATGCATGTCCCAACCCCATGCATTTCTGGTTTCCTATCCCACTAAGGAGGAGGAAATACTTATCATGCCCTTGGAGTTTAAAGGACAATGGGGGATGTTCCCATCATGCCTTGTGCAATTTTACTCCTTTTATGCCCAGGCTATCCAGTTATTTTTCCAATGACAAAAGCTTTCCCTTGGTCTCCCTGTCTCTCTTTCAGGCTCATTCATGTGCTAACAATTGGTTAATCAGCTGTGGCTCTCTTGAAATGAGCAGATGTGAAGTGGCTTTTGTTGTGCAGTGCTTTGGAAAGGGCCCCCTGTACCTTTACGCACTGGGGCATGAGGTAAGGTTGGTGCTCACACAGTTGGCGTTGTTCAGAGTCGCTTCTGAGGTCAGCACTTTACCTGCTTGAGTCTTGTTCTACTTCTACACCAAGTTGCTTATGTCCAAGAGACCTTCTAGGTACACAGCCACCCCTGGGTCAGGTCTTGAGATCTCCCACCACCCCTTGCCCGCAGCCCGGCTATACCTGGTGAAAGGCCACCACACTGCGCAGGGGAGGGCTGCACTTGGGCTACCTCCTGGTAAAAGGGGCTGTAACCTGCTTCGTTTCACCAATGCATCAGCCCTGCTTTGCCTCCAGCTCTCTGGAGCTCAGCAGGCTCCCTACCCCTCATGGTCACTCATGCTTAGGTCAACACTGACAGGAAAATACCCTAAAAATCAAGAAGGTAAGATGACCTTGAGTGTTTTGTCCTGACTCTGCACTGTGTCCATCAGTAAATAGGAGCCTTTGATATCGCAGAGCTTGTCGGAAGAGCCTGTCGGAAGATCCGTGTAGCACCAGGATGGGCAAAGTCAGCTTGGGCAGAGCTCGCTCAATTCTGGCAATGGCATTCATCAGCTGGATGACGAAGGAGACCTTCATGCCACCATGGTAGACCAAGGGATCGGATGTATAAGACTCCATCTGGCAGGGAGGAAGAGGTAATTTAAGGTTAGCAATATTTCATGCAGAAAAGACAAAGCAGATCAGCCTCTTCCCCTGGCTTGCACGGTCATTTCCTACTCTGTCAGGAGTCAAGGTCGAGATCTTTACTGTGGCTACCCAGAACTGCGCACACAATCTGGCTTACCCCATGCTGTGTGTTTCTCTCTTATGTCACTAAAAAATATTCAAGCCAAAGCTCTTTCTGCAGACAAGCAACTAGTGTTGGACAAAGACTGTTCCCTTGGGGGCACCTGTCTGCATTTTTCTGCTCTTTCGTGTCCTTCTGTCATTAAAAGGTGACAGTCTCTTCTGCAGAGGGGTCTTCAGACTACGTTACTTGAAAACTGATATTGTCCAGGTCCTTATGCTCTCTGCTGAGGGCTCAGATGTTCTTCTCTTTCATCTTTCCTCTCCAGGCATGAAGACCATGAACTACACCTACAGAGAGCTGACGCACCTGACTGCAAAGCACTCTTACGCTGAGGGGTCTTCTCCAGGTGCAAAGTGTGCACAGACCAGGCAGCAAATGACGCTATTTGGTGGTAGGGAAAAATAAAAAAGTCAACAACTTGCTCAGCCAGACTGTGAGAGGATAAAAATGTACAAGAGCTGGTGTAGAAAGTTGCTAGGAACGAGTAGTTACCACAGCAGGCAAATCTACAGTAAATATTTGTATACTGTACATGGAGACGGCCCACACAGCCACTGCCATCTCAATATTTGCCAGAATGCTTTGATTATGGGTTGGTCTCTGGCACAGCCTCCAGTTTCTCCCAACCCTGGCAGATGTTTATAGAAATGATGGTTATTTATAGGTTAGCCAAAAAGAGTCTCCTCTCCTCGCAGGCAGTGGGGTCTGTTCAAATTCTCCCTCACTTTGCAGAAATGTGAAGCCCTCTTCCTGCTGCACGTGCCTGCCCTGAGGGGACCACAGGTGGGATGTGACCCAGCGGGCCACCCCAGGGACATATAGCTATGTGTAGGTGTAGGCACAGGCATGCACTGTAGCAGGACAGCGTGGCCTGCCTGGTCCCCACCAAGAAGTCAGAAGGGCTTTGGAGTGGATTCTGAATTCATCTCCCCGTGAGATGAGATTCTCAGCGTGGAAGAAGGACACTACATGGTGGGGTTTCCCAGCTGGGGGGATTAATTTGCCAGAGGGCATAAAGCCAGTTTCCCTCCTCATTGTCTCAAATGTGTTGGGGCACAAAGCACTGGAAACGGAGCTGGCAGCGAGGCATGCTGGTGCTCACAAGTCTTTCTTCATCACCTTCTTGCTTCCAGTCCCCACTATCTCCTGCTGCTTGAACCCATGGTTCCTACCCCTGAGTGCAGCAAGGGGAAGGAGTGGGTGGGAATCTGGGACTATTAGTGGCTGGCACCCTTCAGTCCCAGCCCACAGTGCTGAAAATGGTCAAGGGGATGAGAGCAGTAGAGCCATGCTAACTTGTGCTCGAGCTGGACCAAAGAAATTCAAGTTGTTGTAGTACTCATTTAGGGACCCTTGGATTCAGCAGATGTTTCTAGTATTTGATTAAGGCCATTGTTGTGTTTTGGCCTCTGTGCAAGATCATGGCTAACCTGGAATGAGGAGTGGTTTTTGGCAGGGATACAAAAATAGAGGTCTCTCATCACAGCTTCTAATATTAGTATCTTATGTATATAGTACCTCCCTTTCAAAGAAGCAAGTGCCCATGCATGCTGAGGGTTTGGAAAGCACTGTAAGAGGCCACCGCAAAGATGGGATTGCGGTTAAGGTGAAAGGATCCACTCTTAAGACATGCTGAATATCTTCCACTCCTGCTAAAGGCCCTAGGAAGCAGAGAGGCTGAACAGCATGTGGTCCTCTCTTGGCTCTGCATGGACCCTCCTCCCAGTGCCCAACCAGCTTGTTGGTGCAGAAACCTCCACCCACATCCTCCATCCCCTACACCGCTCAGCCTGTCTGCCTGCCATACCTTCCCTGCTCTGCAAAGTGCTTCAAAAGGGCAAGAAGCTGCCTGTGTTGAGAAAAGCATCCTCTCGTGAACGTGCTCATGGAAAATGTTCAGCTTTGACTTCCAAATCACCAACCGCCCGGTGTGGTGTTGCTAGCTCTCCCATTGACAGCTGGGTGTACTCTGATATTTTCAGCCAAATGTGTTGACTTTTTGTCAGCATTTTGAGCAAAATCACCATTTTGCACTAGCTACTTAGCAACTGGCTTCAGCCTAATCTGGGAGTTCCCTGTCTGGATCTATGTCACAGCCTGCACTAAAGCAACACAGCTTTGAGAGGGTTTCTTTTTATTTTTTAGGTGGATTTTTTTTTTTTTTCATTGAAGGCAACAAATGAGGGACTTTGCAGGAGGAGGGGGGGAATCAGGAGGGGTGGGTGGATGGATTGAAGTTTCCTTCCCGTGGAGTAAAACAATGTTGATGAATTCATGTGAGCTGGCCCCCTCCCCAGCCCCATAAATGCTAAGAGAATGACCTAATGGGTTTCTTTCTTCCTCTTGTTCTTTTCTGAAAGAACAGGGATTTTTTTTAGCTACTGGGTAGCCAACAAATATTTTTGTGTAGATGATGGGAGGGGAAAAAATAATAACCCAATCTTAACCCAGATCAATCAGGACTGCAGGGGGAGGATCCCGTTACCAGTCAATGAACAGGAATCCTTGCCACAGTTAATGTTCAGTGCATGGGGTGCGTGCAAAGAAGCACCTTGCTGGGGAACAAGGGTAATATAGGGAATGGGCTGTATATTCTGCAAGCTATGAACTGCAAACCCTGCAAGCCCAGAGCTCCCGTTGGTGCACTGAGCTCTGGGACAGCGGTGGCAAGCAAGTGAGGGTGTCCCCAGGAGAGCCTGTGACTGCTTCCAGCCACAGTCCAGTGAAGACTGCACAGTTGGTCACAACAGCTGTTTTTTCTCTTTAGGTAATGCTAAGACAGAAGCCACCATCAGGGCTCCCGCTGCATTGCGTTCCTCTGCTTAAAGGTCTGTATCTTCCCTTTGCATTTTGCAGAGCAATAAATTCATTATAAGGTAATTACAGCCTCATCCTATGTGGACTCTGCAGGAACAAGACTAAAGTCAATGGGACTATTCCACTGAATTAAATGACAGCTAACAAAGATTAATGGGGTAAAGAGGTGCCTGCCCCTGTGATGTTATTCCTCCTTGGAATAACAAGACTGGGTTTTTAAGGTTGCTTCTTGCTCTCTTTTGTGTCTCTTGCACTTGATATAGCAAGCAGATCAAACAAACATCTCCATACCCTCCTGTGTTTCAGTCCCTACACCCTGAGGACAGCCTGCTGGGAACACAAACTCGTCGGGAAATTCTTGGATGATGTCCCAAAAATATTTCTAGAGAACAGAAAGTTGGTCTGGCAGGAGAATATGTTTAACATATAAGTAACGGATGTTTCCAGCACATTGTGTGCTTTGAAGCTGTGTGTCTTGAGTCAAAAAGGAGGGTGGAGTGTGTGTTAGAGGCAGTCAGAGGACCGAGATGTGTTGTCTTCAGTAAGTGCCTGCAGCCTCAAATCCTGGTGTTTGAAGATGGTCGGGAAAGCGCTTTACATCGCAATCCACAGCTGCTGTGTCAGCTGTGTGTTCACTTGCAGGTGTGCAGGCAGCACAGCAAGGAGGGGCTTGTCTCATTTTCAAGACTACTCCATTATAAGCAGACTCTAATGAGGCAGACATACATTTTCATCCACTGCAAAAGACTTCCCCTTGCTCCACGGAAAGGGAAAGGGCAGAGGAAAAACAACAACACTCCAAGGAAGCTCTTGAGACTTGGAGCATCACAGAACAGTAGGAGCAGCAGCAAATATTTGGGTAGATAGACAACACAATAGCATTTATTATAAACTATGTCTAGTGGCTGGGGGGGGGGGTGCTGTGGTGATTCCTAACATCACCCCAACATTGAAATGCTCAGTCAATATTGTGCACTAGATTAAGGGAGCTCACTGACACTTTTCTAAATGCATTACTGTTTGGGATGTCCGCACATCAGCACTTTTCTCCTGTAAAGCTATTTAGTGCAGTACTAGCATCTTCCAGCAGAGGATGCAACTGTTGGAGGTGGGTGTATTTAAAACTGCTACCCTTAAGGACCAGCTGCAAAAGACCCACGTGTCCCAGCCACTCACTCTCTTCAGGTAGGGGGTAACACTCTCAAATTCCTCTCCTCCTCCAGAGCACTGATTGCTTTTATTCTCTCAATACAAATGCAGAAGTGAAAACTTTCCTCCGTGTGATTTTAGTGAATTAGTTCTCTAATTTAAACCTTTTCTCTGAATTACATGCAACAAGTTACGGCAGCTGAGTGTAATTAAGAACAGGTTTCTATAGCTTGACTGGAATCAGCCTTCTTCCCAAGTATATACTTTGTGCAGCCTCATATGGTACTTAAGAACATATGTCATATGGTGCATCAGTGGATGCAGATGAACTTGCTCCATGCTTGTCTTGACAGTTTCCGAGGACCCACTTTATCTTCCTTTTCTCGGTTCCTTCAATCTTTCTGCCTTCAGCCCAGTAAAATGTTATGCTCTGTTCACAGATAAGTAAACTGAAAGTCATTTGACCAAAAAACTCTTTGGCAGAGCCAAGAAACAAGCCTGAATGCCTTGTGGCTATTCTGGGAGACTCTTTGGAAAGCAATTTATTAACTTCTACTTAAGATATGAACCATTGCATGAACAGCAGGAAAAATGACAGTATCCGTCAGTGAGATGCGAGCTGACGTGGGAGCACAGGAACAACTGACCACTACACCAGTGAAGCTCTCCTGCTTTTGACACACCCTTGGGTGCCATTTTCTATCATTCAAATTGATTTCCGAAATGCACCAAGTTCTGGATCCAGCCAAAGCACCTTGGTTCACTTACAGTTTGTGTCTCCCTCCTTTCACTCCTCCCACAACCGTGAGAAGGAAAAAACCTCACTACGTGCTGTTGCAGCAGTTGTAGTGATACCTGGTTTTGCCAGTGATGGTATGAACAGGCTACAACAGTTATTACTAGAAGTGGGAATGAATGGGAGAAGAGTCGCAAGCAATGGTGACACTACAAAAATTTCACCCTGGAACAGCTCCATGCACAGTCACAGTGATGGAGCTGGAATTGGGTTGTTACAACAGCTGCTTCAGTTGCAGCTCGTTTAAGTATTACTCTCGGGCACAGCACAAATACATCATTTGTTCGGAAAGGCTGTAGCAGAGCCAGTGTGTAATCCAGGAGACCTTGTAGCAAGGTCTTTGGGGCAAGCACACTCTTTTCCTCTGTTTGAATGCATTCAGCACAACATGATGCTGGTTTGCAAGCAGGAAAACAGATGTCCAGGACTGTAGGGCTTTGCACAGTTTCCCTGCAAAGAGCAGGGGTGGAAAAGTTGACTTTTTAGTAGTGCGTTTGCAACCTCTTTGAGTTGTTTTTGTAGTGGTGGTGCAGCAGAGACAAACAGAGTTCCCATGTGCTTTCCATTGCAACTGTAGCACAGGTCTCTGTTACCTCTTGTAGCCGGAGTGGCTGCAGGTGCAAGATGCACCAAAGGGATGAACAGCTGATTTCCCACAGTTTTCTGCTATGTGCAGTCAGTTCCGCTGACTTCAGATATGTTTCACCTTTGTACACCGGCATAGATCTTGCCCTCATGATTTAACAAAACACTTGGGGGTTTTTTTGAGAGAAATGGCAGGACTGGGATGAGATACCAACTATGCAGTGACTTGAAATGGCATTAAGGTTCTCACCTCCTTCTTGTTCCGGGAAATTGCATTTGGATCTATCGATCCCAGTGACAGGTTTGGGAGAACAAAGTTGAGCACTTTCGCTGCAAAAACCTGTGGGAGAGGAAAGCAAGCAGTTAGAGAGCTAGTTAGAGCAAGAGAGATAACATAGAGGACCAAATCCTGAGCTGATGGGAATCAGCACCTAAGTTAAATAGTTGAGAAATGTTAACTGACACTGGAGAAAGATCTGTCCCACATTTAAAACATTTCTCTTAAAGAGAAAGTGTTTAAACTGCTCCTGGGATCAGGGAGTGGGTGTGCTTGTCTGAAATGCCATCAGCTGTCTGTCCACATGCAACATCACAACTTCATTGTACTTTGCCTTTTTCTCATTCTCAAGCTAATTTCTAAAAAGCCCTCAGTTAAACACTTTGATAGGAAAAAGCCATTTCCAGCCCTCAGAAGGGCTGGGTTTTGTTGTTTTACTGCCCTTTCCTTGCTGCCACAGCTTTGATTTCAGGCTGTGGTGCGTATGTGATGTTCGGTGCAATTTGCAGTAGTTGCCTAGGCTGCACTCTTTTTGATAAGCATATTCTCCAGGGAACCTGTAAATAAACAACAGCAAAATGTGCATGCAGTAGCTAAGGAAATCCATTGCTCACTTGTCTCCTGGGAACAAAACACAAAAGCATTCAGCAGCCCAGGCTCGAAATCACTGGCAGAAGAAAGGGTAACATCTTTCATTTCAATAGCACTACGAGCACATTGATGCCAGGGTTCTGCTCTGACCTTTGATAGCTGTCTTTAATTAAGTGATCACCACTTAAGTCAGAAAACATGCAATTAGTGTTTGTTGCTCTGTTTTAGGGCTCTTTTGTGTTCACAGCTAACATGTGCAGGTAGGCTGTCACCTATGTTCTCTGTTTCTGCTGATATGTAATCACTTCTGAAGCACTCCCCGACATTTCAGATCTCAGATGATACATGACAGAGTAATTATGATATTAGAGGAATAACACAAGGCTGAAGTCAAAGTCATGGAGGAGTGAAAGGCAGTAAAGACTCAGAGCAGATTTGAGAACACATGTGTACCTCGGGGTGCATATGACTGGGAACCAGTGTCATGTCTACCCATATATTGAGCCCCTCACTGGCTATGACATTGTGTCAGCAAAATTAATTAATTAAATAATTAATTATCACACCGATGCAGGTATAAGCTTATGATGCAAACAAGCATTTGTTTTATGTTAACTCCAGGCAGCGATGATTTGAGGAAGGCATTTTCATGAATCCTTGGCAAGGTTATGGACTCTGTGTGCTGACAACGCTATAACAGTTTTGCATCTCTGAAACCACTTACGATGACCCAGATATATGCCAAGTAACTTTAGGTACCTAGCTGAGGTATTTAACTTAGAAAAGTGTAATTGTCCTAGGTGTTCTTTACAGAGTATGGGGAGTGAGAGAAACACCTCCCAGAACACCTCTAAGATCTGAATAATTGTCTGGAAGTGCCTGTCTCCAAAGATTATCACGACAACTAAGGCAATTAGGCTGCCCTAAAATTGGAACCTGCGTTAAGAGCTAGGGTGAGTTCTTATGCCTAAAGATTGCTTATTCAAGAGGAAATGCCTCGGTATGAGAGGTTAGCTGATGCTCTCTCAGTATCTATTTAGAGTATTGGCCACAAGATCAGTATGTTGGTATTAAGGCCACAGATATTTAGGTCCTAGATGACACGTAAAAGAGTAAAAGATGGCAGTGTTTTTGGCAGATGGGGGCTTTGCTTACTTTTAAATGTGGCTGAAGAAGGAAGTTAGTTGACATACTCTCGAATTCCAGAAGAAGACCTGAGTTTGATCGGGATTCTGCTCCGTGTCTGCTTGGTACATGCGTGAATATTTATATTCCCAAGGCTCTGCAATAGGGATTTTGCAGCAGGATCATAAATTTGAATCTTCCTCTCATATGAGCAACAATACACCAGCCTAACGATATGCTGAAGGCAGGGAAGGAGTGACAAGGAAAGGAGAACTACATACACGCTCTTTCCCAGGCTCTTCCTTATTGGAGACAGGCTAGGCAGGCTTTTGTCAGATTCAGTATGGCCATTTTTCTGTTCGAATGATATACGCTTATCACCCCAACCCCACTGCCTACTGACGACCTCGCCTCCGTGACATGCTTTGGAAATGTTCTTGAAGTTTTTGCACGTTATCTGGAGCTTTGCCAAACTGAGTCACAAGCTGACTGCTAAACTGCCACAGAGATAGGGCTGGCTTCTGACCACAAGTATAGTAGCACATACCGTCCTGGGTTGGTGATATCAGTGAAGTAATTTCTGGCGTTCAGCTGTACAAGAGAAGCACCAGGCCCTGTACATAGGCACGTCAGTTGTACTTACACACACATATATATATTCCCTGTGTGCATAAAATCTCTTATTTATGCACAGACAGAACTAACCTTGGTCTATAAGACTGATTGTGAAAGGACTGCCACCCTCCTTCAAAGGGTCTTCAGATCTGCAGGAAATGCTCCATTCCCTCCAACATGTAGTACACCCTCAAAATTCAGATGTAATTTTGATGATTCTTGGAGGAAAGGTCATGGACAGAGAAATCAAGTCTTATGTTATAATAAAAAATTCAGAAGGTTCCCCTGGGCCTTCACTGATCTTGTGAGCACTGTGATACACTGCCCGACTTCAATTAAAAGCTGTGTTGTTGAAGTGCTGGCTATATTTGATACATGAAAGTTTATCTCCCTGTTGGTTCAAAGTGGCAATGTTGGTCCTTGAGAGAATGGCTCCCAAATGATCAAGAAAGGGTAATGGAATGATGGGGATATTACTGGTTGGGCTGAGGATGACACTACAGGGCAGTGGTTATTAGGGCTGCTCAAGGCCACCGCAGGTGTGTGAAATACTAACGGTATTCAAATACGGCCCTTCCCTCTCTATGAGAAAGATCTTACAATAAGATTGAAATAGATGGCTGAACATTCCGTCTTGACTGGAAGTGTACCTTAAAGCTGATTTCATGGTTTTTGCATCAGTTTAACCATACGGGTACTTCGCAGTGCAGACACTTTTCTTCTGAATGGAGCAATCCCTGTTCCCTGCACACCTCAATGTGCTTATTTCTTTCTCCAATGATCTCTGCTTGACAAACTGCTTGTGTGAATGCCCTTTAGTTCATTTCAGCTACAAATGAGCTGGATTAACAAAAATGTGGTGTTTGAACTGGTTAAGCTAGCCAGGCTCATTTGACTGAGCTGAAAAGTCTCTGGAAGCTCATCACACTGTGATGAGCTACAGAGACCAGGTTGAAAGCAACTGAATAGTGTTATCAGGGAGATATTATATGAGGGATATCATTTGATATGGTATGGTCAAGGAGACAGCAGATATGGTGTCTCCATACCTGGATACCAAGCCACCTTATATATGTTTGTCTGAACCTGATGACTAACATCTCTGCTAAACTGGACAGACCAGAGCAAAGCCAAAATAAGAGTTTTTAATATAATACTTTCTTCTAGTTTGACTTTATCTTTAAAAACAGTCCTCTCCACTGTTACTGGGTGCAGATTCAGCCTGAATGACTGGGAGACCCTCTGGTACTGGAACAACGTGATGTCCAGTTGGGCTGGAAAGCAATAGATCAGCAAGAGGCCAAATGGAAAACAGAAAAGGCAAAGAAAGAATATTGTGTGCTTAGTCTTTACATTATAGGCTGAGGGTTAGCATAGGATTAATCATTAGGGAATATTTCCTATGGGGGTTGTCCTGCCCTCCTGATTTCAAAGCATTCAGTAGCAGAAATGTACCGGGAGATACTCTTTTACCCTTACTCTGCTCTTTGCCAGCATATGTGACTCCCGCCTCTTTGCATCCTTTGAAATTTTGAAGATTCAGAGCCAAATTTTGTCCAGATTAGTTGAGAAGAAAAGGGGGAAGGCAGCAAGATCCCTCCCTCTTCGCTGCATTTGCAACAAGTAGGTCGATGCTTCTATCAGGACACAGGATTTATAGGGCATTTATGAAATTGTGTTTCTGCAAAGAGCAGAATTTGATTTTCCTGCACGTAGTCTGTAAACGCGCTGTGTTTCTGCTGCTGCCAGGGCTGGTTCGGCAGCGAGGGAAGGTATTTCTAACACAGGCTGAAGGACCCAGTGTGTAAGCTGGCCCACTGTTATTGTTGCCTTGAGCCTTCATTTGTTTAGGCCAAGGTAAATTCTTGCTCAGTTGGAAACTTCCCCAGTAAAGGGATGAATGCAATGGTCCTTGGGAAATGGCCCAGGGCCGAGAAGTCATACCAGTTCCAAGGAAAAACCAAAGCCTTTATGCCTCAGAGGCACAAACACCAATGAAAGGTTTTTTGGCTCTCAGAGGCAAAAAAGCACACAAGTGTTTTCAGCTCAGTTTTATGGGAAAACGTGGCTTAAGCAGGAATACTCTGCCTGTTTTCACTCCTTCCTCTTGAAAATACCTTTTCAACTCCAGGACTGATTTCAACTAAATTTGACAGAGCAGAGACATGTCAGGAATCCCTATTTTTTTATCAGTTTTGAGATGCAACAATAGATTTCAAAGAGAAAGAAACTCACTGTGCACTTGTATTACCGCATGCGAGAGACTCACTAGGAAAGAGACCATATAAACACCTCCAAAATACTTCAGTTAGAGATTAGGATTTCCTACACCGAAATAAAGCAACAATCTGGTACAGATCTGCAAGAAACCAGACTACAGTAATACTAGATCCCACAGAACTGGAGAGTCCTTATTTCAGAAAGCGATTAGCATCTAGCAAAAGGTATAGCTCTAGAAGAAGGAAAATCTTTCCATATTTTCCTTGACTCAACTGGAAATAGAAGGCTGACAGTGCCTCTCAGATTCTGTTTCTCAGACCCTATACTATTTTTTTTCTTAATATTTATTCTTTTTCCCTTTCCAAAGTAAAAAAATACAGGGGCACTGGTGCTCACAGGACCCTTATGCTGAGTCAGGTACAGCCTCACCTGTGAAGAATCAGCTACCAGCCTCCTAAAAGCACCCTTTGGTGCTCTGACTCCTATTTAAATAAATTTTCCTGGACTGGAAAACTTCAGGATTCACTTCCACTCTGAAAAGTAGGTGGACTGTGGGGGAGACACTTAGAAGAAAAATATTGACTGGCATCCTGGTGGTGCAGATCTCAACAGGGTTTTGCATTTTAAGGCTAGAGGTCTTAACGCGTTTCCTTCAGTGGCAGAGTGAGGTGATTAAAAAGCACCCTTTGGTGCTTGTAATGATTTGTGGGGTCAGTAGATGGCTTTGGCTACAGCAGAAGGTGCAACAGGATTATACTGAAAGCTAAGGCAATCTGTTTCCTTTCTCTTAGAAGAAAAAAAGCCAGAAGAAATAGCTTAGAAGTAGATTAAAACACGAAGCTAGCCCTAGGAGAAGAGTCTAGGGAGACAGGATAAAGGAACGAGTCCTATGGGAATAAGATGTTCTGTCATTCCTGCTGGCTTTGCTGGTCCTTCCCTTTGCTTCCAGCTTCTTTTGGCATTGTTGTTTATTCTTTTAAAAATTCAGACAGGAGGGGAGAGCTGAGGGTCAGCTGCCTTGCAGAGCCTCTGTGGGGAAGGGCAGAGCAGGCAGTGCAAATTTGGATCAGAAATAGCTGTGGAACGGAGATGTGAATGACAGCAGGGGTAAAGCCTAAATGCAAACTGAAGGCGATGGTCTGGACAAGAACCAGACTTGGTACCAAGCCAAATGAGACACTGCTGGGGCAGTGATGCTTTAGCTGGAAGCCTTCTTTGAGGCTCATGAAGGATTCCTGGGACTCAAGAGCTCTAGTTTTGTTTAGAAATTGGTCATCCCCCAAACACCAAAAATAACCGTGGCCTGACTTAGCCAGCAGCCTGTGTTGCAACTATACCAGACTCTGTACGAGTCAGGAAGAAAACTGTAGGAGAGGACGGGAAAGGATGGCACTGTGTGGGCTGCTGCAGGGTGTGGTGAAGAAAGCACAGTCTGCTACCACCTCCTGAGGTAGCATCGTTCTCCGACTATCATTTAAGTAAGTTTTTCTGGATGAGTTCAGGATTCACTTCCCCTCTGAAAAGTAGGTGGAACTGTGGGGGAGGCACTTAGAAGAGAAGTATTGACTGGCATCCAGGTGGCCTCAGCGGGGGCTTTGCATTTTAAGGCTAGGGGTCTTAATGCGTTTCCTTCAGCGGAAGAGCAAGGTAACTAGGTGCAATGCAGTTTTGCTCTTACCTTGATGGGAGTGGCGACTTCTGGGCTGGCTACCACTAAAGGAGAGATTAACAGCATGCCTGAAAACTCACTGGGTCTCTCACTAGCTGTCAGAATGGAGATGGCTCCCCCCTGCAATGCAAAATAACAGCCCACAGCTTAATACAGGTGTCAACATCTCATTTGTATAGTAATCCTGTTACTGGAAGGAGATTAGTCCAAACAAGCAAATTATTTCTGCCTCAGTGAGAGTGTGGTGTGGTCAGCAAGGAAGGCTGGAGGAGCAGGGGCACTAGAAGTGTCTGGGTTTTGTGAGGGAGAAGAGACCTGGTTTCTGCTCTCGTGCCGTAAACCCTCACGGTCACACTGAACTCGACTCTCTGTGCAATGTCCGTCAGCTCCCTAGGAAGCCTTGTGTTCTCCTCAGTTAAAAGGACTAAGAAGAAAATGTCTGAAGCTGTAGTTCAGGTGGGACTTGAAAAATCAATTGAGGCTCTATCAGTGTGACAGACTGGTGCTGCATCGGGAAGACGCCGTGAAGCCGGGCTCGCTCCGTGCTTGTGGCACCGGTAACCTGGGCAACGCAATGCTGCCATCCGGCATGTGAAAATCTTCACTAATTACTGGAAGTTAAATATTCTCCTCTTCAGTGTCCCCAGCCCCTCCATCCCTACAGCGCTGTGCCCAGGGCCTGACAGCGAACACCCAGCCCATGGTTTAGAGCTGAACACCAGCCAGGCAGAGCCCTCCTGCTCTCCTGAGGACAGCGGCTGATGGCGTGAGGGGTGGGGGACAGAAGGGACCTGGCTGGCTTGCTAGGGAAAGTTGTTAGAGGATTAGTTGCCAAGGGAAATATTTGGTGAACTTCCACGCTGCTGGAGAACCACGGGCTTGTTAAATAGAGCAGCAGCGAGAAGCATCTCAAAGACCTCACTAGGAAATTAGCTCCTTGTTACAGCGGCTTTGGAGCGCAGCGAGCACTTCAGAGCATGCCATGCCGTCTTATGCAAGAACACTTGTTTATCCGAGCATGGCCTGAATCCCAAAGTACTTATTCATTTTCGTCTCCTCTGGGAAGGCAGGGAGAGCAGATCAATGACATCAGTGGGAATATTGCTAGCTTGAATAAAGGGATTTGGCCCGTGTTGTCAGAATCAGACTTCAGATCTGTTCACCAAATCAGTGCCTTTGTTTTTGCAGCCCTAATCCCTGGTACATTTTCCTGTTAGGTTGTTTAACAGAATGAGGCTACAGGGTATTTTCGTGCTTCATCCCCTAGCCGCTCACAAAGCTTTGGAGGGCTTAACCTCCTGGTCACTGGTTAAAATGAACGGAGAAGCCCAATGCTGCAGTGAGGTGGTGGGACTTATGAACCCAGTGTGAATGAATGGTCCTGTTAAAAAATAGGCCCATTGTTGCAAATGGCACTAATTAGGGCCATGATCCGGGTAGAAAAGTTAAGGACCGACTATATTCAAGACAGATCTGTGGGATAAGGCATGCTGGCAACTCAGTCAGTGAATGAAGCGGAAGGGAGTTAATTGTAGTTTTGTTTTTCCTGCTGTGGGCTGAGTTATTTCCTGCCATCCACAAGAGTACCACCGCACTGCAGCACGTGTCCTGGGTGCTGCCGGGAGGAGTAGGGGATGGTGCTTACCATGGAGTGCCCCAGAATGAGAATAGGCAGCTCAGGGTGCTCTTTCTTCATGAGATCAATGTGCTGCAAGCTGTCCCTGATGAAGACATGGAAATCTGAGACAACCATACGATCGCCCTCGCTCTGCCCATGGCCAACTGTAGGGGAAAAGGAGAGCACGCATGTAAGTCATTCTAAGCAGTGGCTGCAATTGAGAAAGGCTTTAGCAGAAACATGCCTGTTAGACTGTTACTGTCCTAACTTGATCTTCTCCTGCAGTCACCTCTCAACAGAAAGAGTGCTGCACAAATACAAAGGAAGCTGCACAGAACAATTTAAAAAGTGCCATACTGCCCACGATCTGGTTAAAAAAAATTTATATTCCCCTGTGTTTCTACCTGCTCCTTAAAACTGAGAGCACTGATCTAATCTCTGGCAGCCTTCAACACCAGGGTGAGCAGAAGGACTGTTTTGCCTTGCTGTAGGGATGGGAGGTTACTGCATCCTGGGAAATCAGTTTTTGCCACAGGGACCACAGCTGCTGGGGTCTGATGGCTCACTGTACTGAGCCAAACACTGTCTAGAGTCTTGGCAAGAAACAGAAAAATTCTGAAGACTAGAAATGGTCGCTATAAACTTAATGGGTTATGGACACAGCCTTTTCCAGTGCCTGGGTGTGCATGAACTTTGCGGAGTCCTGCCTTTTCTCACTGCTACCCTGGAGCACTAGGTGGGCTGGAGCCCTTCCCTCCTATGGTGAAGCACTCCCAGCAGAGGAGGCCAAGTGATGGTGGTTGCAACAGCCTGCGGTGGGGAAGTACGAAGTGGCATGCTCCTCCTAAACAAGTGTTAATGCAAAGTGTACTGCACTTGGGTGCTGTAGCTCATTCTGTATCTGGGAATTATCTTGTCTGATCAAAGGGAAGGGAAAGACTAAAACGGGAGATGGTGAGTTGCTATGGGAACAGCGGCATCCCTGGCAGAGGTGGAGCCAGCATCGCCACAAACACAGCCCCAGGCAATTTTGAGCTTGCAAAGGCCTGAAATGGATACCACCTCGGGGACGCAGTTTGCATGTTTACTTGACCACGCATACATGTTATGATCTATCACAAATAGGATTCTTCCTTAAAAACAGTCTCCTTGCTTGTTGCTGTTCCATGCAGGTTAAGGAAAACTGTGAAGGGAAAAACACATCCCATCCACATGGGATAGGGTATAGGGAGTCTCAAACAACATCTCCCTCCTGCTGTGTGTCTCCCTAGGCCTTCTCCAGTGGGCACTTAGGCACACTTAAAAGCACAAGGGCGCAATGACTTGTCAAAGGATGTGACGTGCCTGATAATTGTTTGCATGCTGGATGGCACCCCCTCTAGTGATCAGCAAAGAAAAACATTGCCTATCCAGCCGGAAAGGTAAAGGCTTTTCAGTTAGATCTGCTGGCAATAGTCACACCAGAAGAAATCAGTATGTCTAAACTTAATTTTCTTGCAAGCCATCCAAAAAAATCACCTTCCAAATTAGGCAGAACTTTAATAAAAAGCTGGACTAAATGCACTCCGTCTAAGAAAAAATGAGCCCCAAACCTGCTCTTCTTTGGTCCTGCCAGGTGCTCTCCAGAGCTGGGTCTCTTGGCAGTGAACCCTGCAATCAGCCACGCTGCCAGATAAACCCATAGATGTCATGCTGGTCAATTATAAATAACATATTACCGGTTCTGCCTTCCATGCACACACTCCAATTCCTGCCAAAATATGATATAGCAAGCATTCTCCGTGGATCAGTGACCAGAAACAAATCTAAGAGCCAATTAAAATACAAATTGCAATAATCTACAGAAGTGAAGCCATGTGCGGATAGTGGTCCTATTAACTTTAAACTGATTTTTATTACAGATGGAAAGTGAGCTTTTCCCAATTTTTATAAATGTCCAGCCCACTCACTTTGTGTACCTCAAATGCGTTATCTGCCTAATATTTAAACTTCAAATTTAGCAGGTTAATATGATTTGAATAGTCCAGAGAGAGGAAAATTTTCTCTTAGCAGAGCTCTGCACTTTTATTTCTCTGGTGCTGCTTGCACTTGCTTCTAGTATCTCTTTCTCTACTGTGCCCGTGCAAGAGAGCTGAGCAAGCAGAAATAGCAAGCCCCTGTCACCCAGGTCTGTATATGGGCCGTGACTCACTTTTGTGGGGCTGTGAGGCTTTGCTCTATTATTTGGATGAGACAGAGGCAGGTCTGGAAAGCCTCCTTGGTCCTCTGTGTGCAGAAAATCCCCCGGTCCTACCACATAACAATGATACTGCTCATCGCAGTCAGAGTTATATGGAAGCCAAGAAATACCTGTGCAATAGCTGTGACAAGCATCTCATTGGATTTCTGCAGGGTTTGGGGTTTTTTATTAATAACTGAATGAACCCACCTTTTGACCCTGCTTTTAACTACTAAACTACTGTTCTCCACTCAGATGGCACAGAGCAATGCTTGAGGAGCAGTTTGTCTGCATGTATGGTAAAGGAAGGCCATGCAAGTCTTTGCTTTGATGCTATCCCTGCCCCTTGCGCAAGGCTAGCCAGATGGCATTACTAGGTTGTGTTCTTTTATTTTACTATTTTTCTCTCTTCCCCTCCAAGAAACCAAACTTACTCCACCAGAGAATCAGCTTAATGCAAGTTTGAATCTCCTAGTTGAGAAAGCTTCAGGGTGAGGAACTAAGACCTCTTCTATTAGATGGAAGACGTGCACAACCAAACATCAATACAGTCAAGAATATTGACATGTTTTTCTCTGATCTTTTGCATTTAGAGCTATTAAGAATGAAAAGTCAGGTTGATCTTGATGTCAACTATTTGCTTTGGATTTTGCTGGGAATGAATCTGACGTAGAGGTTCCACAGTGCCAATGGCAAGACACTGGGTGTAGGAGGAGGGGAGCTGCCTGCGCCTGGGAAGAGGAACTAACCAGAGGCTGCCCCACACCCAAATGCACCCAAGGGAGACAACAGAGAAGTGGCACAAGAATCACAGCTCCATGAGTTCGTCATCACAACACTCCCTCTGGGGCCTCTGATTTCAACAGGGCAATGTGAGGTTATAACCACGAGATGCTCATCTGTAAAGAGCTGTGATTGCCAGTGCACATCCACATAATACGCTTGGTTTTCAAAAACTGTCAAATAGGTTTCATACCCATCTGGCTTCACATCCAGCTTGCATGGTTCACTGCTAGTATTGTGTACATGCGGTGGCTCAGTGATCGATCATTTTGAGTTGCATGTACTGAGATAATTGTGGGCACCCTTTCCTAGATGCAAGCCTTTAAAAACAAAAATCCAAACCACATCTTTTCAAATTGCAAATCTAGTATTAGGAGGTCTAAGCCTCCATTTCCAACCAAACACACCACTGCAAAATAACATACTTTGCTCAAACAAAGTCTGAACAAAAGGTGCAATGATCTGGCCCAATATGTAATAGCTATTAAGTTTTGCTCTCTATTTTCTGCATGAGCTTGCTCGAACTGCAACTCTGCCACTGTACAGACAAGAATAGTAACTCATGATCAGTCAAACCTGTTGGAAAGCATGACTTCAGAGCATGATTTCACCTACGATTATAGATCCTCCAAAGCTACACACCTCTCTGGATGGAAGAATATTGACTGGCTGCGCAGGAAGACAAAGCTGAGGGTTCAGCGATGAAATATTTGAGGGTGTGAGGGCTCTGGGGAGTGCATTATCACCATGTAGGTATCACTCTGCCTGCATAATGGATCCTGTGGCCCTGCAAATGCACACTTCCACAAGTCCCTATGTTCCTCAAATCCCATATCCCCTTGTGCTGTGGGGCTTGCTTTTGAAAACCACTCCAAAGCAGCCAGAATCTTCAGCTGGCATTGGCTCACACGCCTCAAAAGATGTTACATCCTGGTCAGATTGGAGATAGGCTGAAAAAAATGTAAGTAAAAAGCACAGTGCAACTCGACACTGCCTTCCCTTCAGTATCAGCCAAATGGGAACCGCGTGAAGAAACGAGCACCCCGGCTCTGGGCTTGCTGGGCAGACTCATTCAGACAGGAGCTGTGATGGGTGCTCTACCTGCCGCTCCGCCGCAGCGGTGGCTTACTGGGGATTAACTCCCGGCGTGATGCTTGTTTGCTGGGGCTGTGGGGCCACATCACAGCTGAAGAAATCCGTCCTTAAATAGACTAAATAAGATCAACAGAGCATTAGGCAAAGAGGAGCGCCTGGTAGTGCTTGTCTCTGCACACCCTAGGGTGCATTAGCACACAGCCCTCGGAGGCACTGCAGGGATGGGTGAGTGCGGCAGCACACCTTGTCCACCCTCAGATACTTGCACAATTTTTGTTCTAAACACCAACTTGTACATAAGCCACACACTATACATATTTCTTTCTCTTTCCTAGTGCCAAACTCTCCTGACAAAGGGACAGCGCGACCCTGCATGCTCAGGTGTGGATTGCATTGCTCTTCAGAGCTTCAGCACGAACGGTTTG